GGAATCGAGTCCAAGACGCAACCCGGCGGCGAACCGGGGACTCTGGGCGAAGACAGCCAGCTCAAGGACCTGCAACTGGACCAGGTCTGGAAGCTCTGGGACATCGCTCTGCGGCTAGAGATGTTGTGTAGTTGTTTGGAAGCACCCGAGCGGGCCGCTGGACTCCACAAGCCCGAATTGAGTCTGCTCACCAGGATGAAGGAGCGCGGAGGCGTGCAGACAGACGCGTTCATGGTGAATCTGCTCGAACACCAGGTGACACGGGTCGAGGTAAGTGCTGCGCTCGACCACTACTCCTGACTTCAGCTAACCTGTCGCTACAGGCCTGTGCCACCACCCTGCAACTGCGACACATGTATCAGCCTTTCCAAAAAGGGGTCAGCCTGTTTGAGCAGGCCAAGCCTATTGGAGAGATCTTGAGCGAGGTGGCTAACCTCCTCGCGGAGGTCAAGGCAGAAAGAAGTGAAATCAAGACGCCCGAGACTTCGGAAGAAAGCAGTGAAGGCGAAAGTAGTGAAGAGGATGATGAGTGATTGAGCGAGGTTGCCGGAACTTCTTCGCCAGCGGTTCCCGGCAGCCCTCCAGCCATACGAGCTGGTAAGTCCAGCATGGGACGGGTCTTGTAGGGACAGATTTGTTCCCGCACATGGGATTTCTGGGCGTCTTGGGGGGCAAGGGACATTTGACATGGTCCCCCTCTGGTCGAGGTGTGCACTGGGTTGGGCGTTTGATGACCGAATCTGCCACGAACTGGGGTGGCGGGGAGGATGGACGCCGTTACGAAGCTTGACGCATGCACATACTTTCGTTGATTCGAGCCGCACATTGGGGATAAAGTATTTTTAGTATCTGCAAACATAGGTCTGACCATCCATGGGTCATGCAAGGGCTGGGATGGAAGTTGGAATCGGCTTTGGATTCTGGGGGGTCGTTCAGCATTGGGAAGTCTGCGAAACAGCGCGGCGGGGGCACAGCTCTCATGGGCTTTTGGGTGTCACGATATCTCTTTTTCCTTGACGACATTTTTACCGGGTAGCGACAATGAGTAACCGTCCATTCAACATTCTTATATTATGTATTTGCGGGTGGAACCCTGCGTGTCCGCCATTCGTTCTACGGGCCAAACGTGATGGCGGCGAAGGGGGGACTGGACTTGGAACTGGAACCGGAACCGGGAAAGGCCATCTTTATTTGTCGCGAGGGCAGTCAACGTATAGAGCTGTGATTGTGACTGTGACGGTGGTAGATGATGTAGGATGTAAGATGTAGGAGGTGTGATGTGTGATGTGTGATGTTCCTGTTTTTCAGAACCAGGAACCAAACGTATAGATAAAAATAAGAATAAAAATGACAAAAGCACCATGCACGAGTGCCTCGATCGCTGCTAAAACCCCCTTCAGAACGCCTCCTCGACCTATACCACCCACACCCACACACATACACACATCCAACCGTTGCGAGACACGGAAGGAACCGACTTGACGGGACCGGGCGAGCCAAGGGAGCTTGCTTGTCTCAGAAAGACCAGATCATCATGACAAGCAGGCAACCAGCACGCCCTCGTAGTATTTGTCAAAGTGGATCTCCCCTTTGACACGCTTGATCAGATCCCGCTTGTACCGGTGGGCGTAAGCCCTCTTGACCTGGTCCAGGTGCATCCTGTCCCAATGGACCCTGACGACGCGCTGGACCAACAAGACGTCCTTGGTGCCGGCGCCGGCCATGGCGTCCTCCAGCTGGATGGCGTCGGACATGGCGCGGTCCGTGGCCCGGCGCACCATCAGCACCAGCGCGTCCTTCATGTGGCCCGAGAACTCGGACTCGATGACCTTTTCGAGCGACGAGTGGTATTTCTGCTGCCAGTGGTGGGCGATGGCGCGGAGCTGCCCGTCCGACCGTTTCGCCAGGATGCTGCACACGGCGATCTGGTCGGTGCCGACGCGCCCGTCCATGGCGCGGTGCAGCTCCGAGCAGTCGTGTTCCAGCTCGTGGGGGATCACGGGGGCGGACTCCTCATTCCGCGTCGCCGACATGACCATGTCGAACAGCCGCTCCGTCTTGAGCGACAGGTCGCCCCTGACGTCGGCCTCGAGCGTGTGCCGGAACGTCTGCTGGTACGCGGCCTTGATGGCGCGGAGGTCGGCGTTGGACCGGCCCAGCAGCACGTCGTTTAGGACCGACTCCTTGGTGCCGAGGCCCTTGATCGCCTCGTGCACGCTGTGCACGTCGTGCATGAGCGGGCCTTGCACGAGCGCCACGAGCGTGTCGCGGAAGTATTTCGACGTCTCGGATTTGATGTCCTTTTCGAGGTCGCGCCGGTGGCGCTGGCTGTACGTGTTGCGCAGCAGCGCCATCTGGAGCGGGTCGGGCTTCGAGAGGATCCGGATCAGTGCCGCTTCGTCCGTGCCGAAGCCTTTCATCGCCGCCCGGAGCGCATCTGCGTCGCGCGACGCGTCGCCTTGCGCTGCCGCCCCGGGGATGTAGCCTGGGGAGGGCTGCGCTGGGGGCGCAAATGGTGGGGCCCCGCCGTATTGATTATATTGTCCTGGCGGCGGCCCTTGAGGTGGAGGAGGACCCCAATTTCCCTGCCCAGGAGGTGGTGGTCCGCCATATTGTCCTGGAGGCGGACCTGGGGGAGGGGCCCAGCCCCCGTGCTGCTGCGGAGGAGGAGGGGCAGGGCTGCCGAACTGCTGGTATCCGCCGTGACCTTGTTGCGGGGGCGGACCTTGGGGGTAGCCATAGTTGTAGCCCTGGCCGTAGCCCTGGCCTGGCGGAGGTCCAGGAGGAGGAGCATGTCCTCCGTATTGACCGGGAGGCGGTCCCTGCGGAGGGCCGTATGACATTGCAGGTGATTAGCGCCGAGAGTAAGAGAGATGTGCGCCAGTTATTGTGTGTGTCTGAGAGGGCGTGTGTACACAGCAATACAGAATATTTCCCTTTGGTTGTTTGAAGAATTAGGAAGCGCGCGTGTGTGCGGGGAGACAAAAGGTAAGGTGGGCGCGGGAGATAGGTTGCCTGGTCGCCTTTTTGACCTCAGGTTTAATTAATATACGTTCGTGTTGCGGCAACCCGTCCGAGTAGCGTTCGAGAGCCAAGGCAGACTCATTCGTAATCGTGAGACTGTACCATCCGATGACGGCATGAGGAGGATCGCAGAGGGCCAAGGAGGATTTGAGCACCGCGTGTGGAACCGACGAGCGTGTTCATTGCCCTGCAGGGCCTGCCGCCTGCATGCCCTGACGCCTGGTTGGGGTGGAGAGTCGCCAGGGAGCGAGGCGAAGGGGAGGTGGAAGTGAAAATGGCGGGGCAGTGATTTTGGTCCCGCGGCTCGTGGTGGATCAGCAATTGTGGCTGACGCCTCAGCTCCGGGCCCGATGCAGTCAAGCTCAGTCATGTGACGAGGCTGTGCGCCGCTCGGTTCAGACGTCGGAGCCTTGGCGCCAAACGGGTCTCGGCTCCGTTATCCGAGCGACAAAGTTCGCGACAAACAACTACAGCAAGGCCATGGACACATTTCATAGTTCGGGCGTTACTGAGTACATAAATGTTTCGTGGCGCCTCCTCCGTGCGAGGTAGATTATGGCTACTTAGCCGACATTGATACAGAAGCTATCGAATCACCATCACTCACTCTCTCACTCACTCACTCCGCTGGCTGATCTTCGTGGAAAACCAAGCAACGCACCTCGATCGACTCTCTTGAGTACTCATTGACAGTCTCGGGGTTGACAAACGCAGTGTGTGGCACCCGCCTTGCTCGGCCGTCCAGTTTCGAGTCGAAGCACTTGATCAGGAGGACCTCCTCGGGCGTCTGGCCGTACAGGTAGTACCACTTGTGCTGGGGGTTGGGGCGGACTGTGTAAGTCTCGCCCTTCCGGTCTGGATAGATCAGGCCCACGCCAATGAGGTCCGAGTCTGGAACTGAGTGAGCATCGGCGACGGTTAGCGGGTCCTTCAGGATAGTCTTGATAGGCCGCCAGACGTTGATGATCTGATATCGAGTCTGGAGCAGTCGGTCGGCCTCGTCGGGCAAGTGATGCGGGACGCGGGACTTGGACGCGCTGTAGCTCTGGTCGATGTGGACACGGTTCACTGGTCCACGGAGAAGAGCTGCGGGGTTCGCACGGTCCTTGGGAGCCCGACGGATGGTGTGGTCGAAGATGAAGACACGTGAGGCTCCGGTCCTGTTGTGGGAGCAATAGTCAGCAAGCAATAGTCAGCAAGCAATAGTCAGAAACACACAACAGGGGCAATTGGATCTAGATCTGGAATCAACTCACGCGTCCTTCAAAAGCTGCTCGACTTCTGGGTAGTATTGCGCCTTGATCTGGTCGTCATCGACGAAGTCTTTCTCGACACTGGTGTGGCGGTAGATCTCAAATCCGTTCTTGTCCAGGTTATAATTCTTCTCCTCGCCTCGGATGTCGGTGACAGTCACTTCCAGCGGCTCGACCGGTCTCTCGTACGTTTCGGGCTTGCCTACATAGGAGGGTGGGGGGGCGCTGCCATCACCGGGATCCTTGTAGTAGTTGAGGCTCGTGCGGACATGGTGCTTCTCGTGCTGAGTGATGGAAGAGCCCTGCAGTCGCGCCGTCAAAGGCTCGAACGAGGTAGAGTGCCCACCGGGCTGTTGGACTGCTGCTTGTGCCATTGTCGTTGCTTGGTCTCGTTTGTCTGATGCCGACACTCCAAGCCCACGGATCAAGTGAGGGCAACCCCGTACTTATGGCCATTGCCATGCTATTGCCTGATTTGTCAGATAGCACGCCATCCTGGGGTGCTCACACGCGATGGTCAGATACAGTGTGGGGTAAGCCATCCAAGACGTGTATACAGGACGCCCAAGGCCAATCGGAGCGGAGACATTGCAAGGACATGAGTCTGGCAGACTCCAAATGGCTCAGGCGTTGAGGTTGGCCAGTTGCGCACAAGAAGCATTTCCAGTATTCCTCATTTCGCTCCAATCAGTGTCTTGCTGGCTTATCAATACACAGCGTTGATTATAATTCCTTGCGCGCAAGTGTCGTTATGGTTGTCCCTTCGTCCAATATGCCCGTCTCCTCTTCCAGTGTATAGCCTCGGTAACGCGGCAGGGCAATGGTCCATACGAACCAATAACAAACTCCAAACACAAGTCTATGGCCACAGTTAGTGATGCTCCTCTTGGAGAAGGGCGTGCGCTTACATGGCGATTCCTACTAATGCATAGGTTGCATAGAAGAAGTCCACGTCCGAATGGCCCTTCCTGGAAGGGAAGAACGGAGCACCGATCAAGGATACAGACAACAAGAGTCTCAGCCACACGGCTGGGATCCAAGCTTTGAACGGTCGTCGCAGGTCTGGCCTCTTGTAGCGGAGGAGGATCAAACCAGCAGCGACCGCCAGACCAAAAAAGGATCCCGCATAGCCTTCGACGTCGGCAATGAATGCATAGACCGTGGCAGAGGGCGGTATGGCAATGACTAGAGCCGACGGTACATAATGGACAATGAGCCCTCCCATTGGAGTTCCAAATGGTTTTGAAGACGCCAGAAGTGCCGCATATGGTAAGAAACCTTGCCTTGCAACTTCTTGGTTTACCCGAGACTGCGATATGGTTAGCTAGGTGTCGCTCCATCGTCAAGAAGTAGTACGCACCACGGCGAAGGTAACCACCATGACATTTCCCGCCGCGCTCAGAGCAATAGCCAGTGGGAGGAACACGTTGCCGAAACCGGCGCCAAAAACTCGCTCGAAGAAAAGCGCTGCAATGAGCTCGCTGCTCTGTTTCACTTCCTCCAACGGCACCACCGCAAGGTATGCGACATTGACAAGAACATACATGATACAAGCCGTGAGCAACGCAGTTGGACCGACCGATTTGATAGTCCGAATGGGGTCCTTGACTTCGTTTAGCACGTTGTTGACGTTGCTGAGTCCCGCGTAGGAATATGATATCTTGAACAGAGCTGTTGACATTGTGTTCCATGCCCAATCCGAGCCCGTCCATAGAGAATCCCAGGAGCTGATGCTTGCTGGCCCGCTGGAAGCGGCGCTGGAGGAAGCAATAGGTCGCAACAAAACGACGAATAGGCCAGTCAGGATCATGAAAGCAATCAATCCCACTTTGAGCCACCCCAGAACATTCTGGATCCAGATGCCGGTCCTGTAGAAACAGCTGTGAACAACTGTAATCCAGGTCAGCAGCCCAATTGCCAGCAGTTTGGTATTGATATCCCCAGGAGTAACGCCTGCCGCAAACAGCGTGTACTTGGAGAACACAATGCAATTGCTGGCCGTAAATCCCAGCAGGACAGCTTGGACGGCGACCAATGTTGAAGTAAGAAACCGCGGTCTGCGGAAGGTGTACTCCAGGTAAACCTTTACCCCGCCTGATCGAGGTAGCATGCAACCGTATTCCATATCGATCGCAAGACCAGCCCAGGCAACCAGTGCGCCAACGACCCAGAGTACCAGAGCTAAGCCCGGGCTTCCCACATTCTGCACGATTGTTCCAGGCATGGCAAAAATGCCAGATCCAATGACTCGAGAAATCACCAGAACGTACGCGCTCCCCCAGCCGATGTTGCGGCCAGCCGCAGATTCTTCTGGGAGGACATCGTTTTCGACGTTTCGATCGTCGAGGGCTGCTGCTTTGCGCTGCTGTTCAATCGAGGGTCGCGGTGAGTTGTCCTGGTACCCGGCAGGCGACAACAAAGGAGATGTTTCGAGGTCTTGCGTCTTAGGAGACATGATACCACTTCAGGAAGGAATGCTGCCTCGCAGATACACATGTACAATGCCGGAGCGACAAAATACCTTGCGATGGCTAAAGCTTGAGGCTGATGAGGGAAGGCTAAGGATGTACAGGAACAGCTCATACCGACATGTACCGGCGCACAGGAGGTCCATGCTGACAAACAGTATCCGAGAGACACATGTCAAAAGGGAACATGTCAAACGTTCATATCGCAACATTCTGGGCAATGGTCGCGTCAAGAACTGACCTCGAAACAGAGCTGCTGGGAAGCGATAGGAATTGCTCATTCGGGGGGCCCATCACGCCATCTTTGGTCGCTCAGGGCGTTTCAGGGGTTCGTGCTTCTCCAACGCTGACGCGGCGAGAGGTCCGAGTAGTGAGAGTCGGCCTCATCAATAAAGGGCTGATAGAGATTCAGTCATGGCGTATGCTACAGTCACTCAAGCGTGAGTAGCTGCGGGAAATATGATCACGAAATGAGGCCTTGATAAAGGCACAGAGAAAGTATGCCCAAAGTGGTGCACGTGATCGTGCCAAGACTTGGACCTAGTTTTCTGTTGCGCGACTCGCAAATGTCGAAGGTCTTCCTTTTGGTTTATTCACGCGAAACGTTGATTTGCCAGTCGGCTAACTCAGCGGCTCTCGAGCGTCTCCTCCGCCCAATAATGGCCCCGGGCTTTGCAGAGACCGAGCTTCTGCTCCCTCGGGTCTGAACCTCGGCCCAGCGCTGACAGGAAGCTACCTCAATGGCATAAACAAGCACCATGGCAAGTAAGTACCAGCTGTATACAAGGAGAACATATTTCTCATCAACCCCGCTTCCAACAAACATCTCGCACTCCACTTCAAACACAGCCCGCTGCCACGAAAGAGAGCACGAGCAAGAGCACTCCAAGCTCATTTGGCCACCAACACCGGCAGAAGCCCGAGTCTGGCTGTGAACCGAGGACAAGGAATCCGAATACGTTCTACGAGCGAGACACCGGCATCATCGTTCGAATGCGGAGAGGGCGGGCTTCAAGCACTATTTAGACGACTTCCAAATCAAAATCCAGGGCAAAGGAATTCGAGGGCGGCCCTTACGGCGTCAAGAAACTCTTCAGGCAGCTAGACTGTGCTCGGAGACCCACCAGCCTGTAGAGCTCGACTCCTTGCCTATTATGGCCAACGATCAACGCTTCACCGTTGACAAGATTAAAGTCCATGGCGACCCTCGCATTTCTCACCTAACGGCGTACTTGAACGGATACACGTATGGGCTCCTCTTCAGCCCGGCGTCACCTTCAGTGCCCAAGCGCGGGACAATCTTCTTGATCCACGGCTTTCCAGACATCAGCATGGGCTGGCGCTATCAAATTCCCTTTCTGACAAAACTAGGCTTGGACGTCGTCGCACCAGACAGTATTGGCTACGGCCGCACCGACGCACCCCCGTTTAAACTTCAAGATTACACATATAGACGCGCAGCAGACGACATTGCCGAACTGGCCCGCCAACTTGGCCTCTCCCAAATCATCCTAGGCGGCCACGACTGGGGCGGTAGCATCGTGTACCGCGTCGCGCAGTACTATCCGTCGTTGATCTTCGCCGTCTTCTCAATCTGCACGCCTTACTTTCCGCCAAACGAGAAATACGAACCGCTGGATATTCTGATTCAGAAGCGCCTTCCCAACTTCGGCTACCAAGCGCACTTTGCGTCCGGCGAGATCGAAGAGGCCGTGAAATCAAAGGCCGAGATCCGCAACTTCCTCCACAACCTCTTCGGTGCCAGGACCGCCGACACCAGGGAAGTCGCCTTTGACGCGACTGTAGGCATCGACTTGGCCAAGCAAGCCCGAATCGGCAAGACCAAGCTCCTGACCGACGAGGAAATGGACTACTACGTGACTGAGTACGCGAGGCATGGCGTCAACGGGCCCCTCAACTGGTATCGCAACCGCGAGGTGAACTACATGAACGAGTGGCGGGATTTCTTCGCCAACGGCAAAAAGACGGCCCCCCAGGCCCAGAAAGATCTGACGCTGCCCATGGAAGTCCTGTTTGTTTTGGCGAAGAAAGATCAGGCGCTGCAGGCATTCATGGCGCAGAAGATGGAGGAGCGGATCCCGAAATTGACAAGACGGGAGGTGGATGCAGGACATTGGGCACTCTGGGAACGTCCAGAGGATTGTAACAAAATCATCGGCGAGTGGTTGGAGAGTAAAGTGTTTCCATTCTTTGGCAACAAAAGGGAGGGTAAATTGTGAAAAGCCAGAGTTGAGGTATTGAAGGCGTACGACAAGCTGGTGGATGGCCGGAAAGGAGCCCTAGGTAAGTCTGCGCTGGCTCAACGTGGTCTAGGCAATGCAAAACGAAAACAAGATCTCGTCTTGTATGTTGATGCTTTCCCCAGCACCATCAGCCACACCCTGCCATGTGATTTTGGGGAATGACCAGTACTCGTCCTCGTACGGAGTAAACAAAGGAGACATTGAAGTGAATGAGATTAATTAGCGAGCATTTGACCGTGTCTGTCATCCACATAACGGCCGTGATATCCGGGCGGCGGGACCACGCTGCTTTATTGTCCTGTGATCCACCTCGTTCTCACTCTCATTTCATCATCACTTTCCTCTGACAACTCCGTGACTTGTGTGAGGTTAACACGATCGGCGTTAGGAATGACAGCATGGCCAAGTGGAGAGCTCCTTCCTGCACAGCGAGACAGCCACGACAGCCAACTGATACGTTTCACCGAGCAATACTCCGACCGTGCTTGCTGGTGTCGTAGACCTGCCAGTTGAGATTTGAGTGTGTCGTGACCGCCTCTTCTTTGGCCCTGTCGAAGAACGACTTACATTACCGTCACTTTCCAATCACCGGTCTGGGTCATATATGAGCTTCGTGTTGAGTACTTGTCGTGCCCATTTCTCGAATATTGTGATTACGAGCAGAGCCTTTCTCAAAATGAAGCACTATCATTTTGAGAGCAAGCCCATTGCTCACAAAGATGCCATCGTCTCCGGTCCTCATTACCGCTTCACAATTCTGACTGACCGCCTGCTCCGCTACGAGTGGTCCTATGATGGCAAGTTCGAGGACCGCGCCTCTACCTTTGCTATCAATCGAGAGTTTCCAGTGCCCAAGTTTCAAATCGTTGACAGGTCGGACGAGCTCGAGATCATCAACGAACACTTCCACTTGAGCTACGATAAGAAGCGCTTCAGTCCGAGTGGATTGTTGTGCAGCTTTTCCGCCAAAATTACGCTCTGGGGTGCACAGTGGCGGTATGGCGTGGAGCCCATCCATGGCAGTCGAGAGAACCTGGGCGGAACAGCACGTACATTGGATGAAGTCGATGGGCGGTGTGATGTCGGCACCGGTGTACTCTCGACGTTCGGATATGCTGCCCTCGATGACAGTAAGTCGATGCTGTTCGATGGCGAAGGGTTTGTCGCTGGTCGACGCCCTGGGGATCGCATTGATGGCTACCTGTTTTGTCATGGACATGATTACAAGGGCGCCATAAGAGACTTTTACAAGGTCAGCGGCAAACAGCCCGTGCTACCCAGATGGGCGCTTGGCAATTGGTGGTCGAGGTACTATAAGTACCATCAAGATGAATACATCGGCTTAATGGACGAGTTCAAGAGAAAGGACATCCCGCTGTCGGTGGCGGTCGTGGATATGGACTGGCACATGGTAGATGACCCTCAGGTTCCGCATGCTGGTTGGACGGGATACACCTGGGACAAGAAGCTGTTCCCTGACCCCGCTGTATTCGGACGTGAGATACACAGTCGGAACTTGAAAATAACGCTGAACGATCATCCACACGGCGGCATTCACCACCACGAGGATTCGTACGAGGAGATGGCAAAGTTCTTGGGCCACGACACGTCAAAGAAGAATCCCATACTGTTCGATCCCACGACTCGCAAGTTTTTGGAAGCATACTTGGACATTCTCCACCGGAACGTGGAAAAGGTGGCATGTGACTTCTGGTGGATCGACTGGCAGCAGGGCTCTCACACAAAAGTGCCGGGTATTGATCCTTTATGGCTGCTGAATCACTTCCACTTCGTCGACAACGCGCGTGACGGCAAACGTCCGCTCATCTTCTCTCGATACGCCGGTCCCGGAAGTCATCGATACCCCGTGGGCTTCTCAGGGGATTCCATCACGACGTGGGCCAGCCTGGAATTTCAACCGGAGTTCACGGCCACGGCTTCCAACATCGGGTATGGATGGTGGAGCCACGATCTCGGAGGCCACTTTGGCGGTTCACGCGATGATGAGCTCGTAACCCGATGGATAGAGTTCGGAGTTTTCAGCCCCATTTTCCGTCTACATTCGTCGAACTCGAAGTGGTCGTCGAAGGAGCCGTGGTTATACCGCAAGGAAAGCGAAGAGATTATCGAAAGCTTCATGCGTTTCCGCCACCGCATGATTCCCTACCTGTACACCCGCAACGTTCTGGCTTCGACCGAGGATGAGCCACTCATACAGCCAATGTATTGGTTGTTTCCGGAACGCAGTGAGGCATATCAAGTCCCGAACCAATACTTCTTTGGCTCAGAGCTGATTGTGGCTCCAATTGTCAAGCCGCGCGACAAGAGGACCAACCTCGGCCACGTCAAGGTGTGGCTGCCCCCGATGCATCGGCACGTCGATATTTTCACAGGTACAGTCTATGATGGAAGCAGGGAGCTGAACATGTACCGACCCCTCAGCCAAATCCCTGTTCTGGCTCATGAAGGAAGCATCATCCCGCTAGATGCAAACGAGAAACCTGGAAACGGTGGCCTCAACCCTGAAGAGTTCGAGGTCCTGGTCGTCGTTGGACGCAATGGTCAGACTTCTGTGCTTGAAGATCCAGCAGATGACTCGGAGCAAGTCAAGAAAGAGAGCCCCCGAACTAACGAACGTGGCTCGCTCATCCAGTACGAACAGGAAGAGGGTGAACTCACAGCTCATGTGACTGGTCGGACATGGAGTTTCCGCTTCCTGGCTATCACGAAAGTTCCCCAGGACCTGAAGGTCACCGTCGATGGGCAAGATCGCACCAAGGACACAAACATCATCATCACAAAATTCCCAGATGCCCCGTCAATGCTGGTTCAGGTGCCTCCGGCACTTCACAAGGAGAAATACACCCTCACCATCTCTCTAGGTACCAACCCACAGCTGAGTGTCATCGATCATAAAGAGCGCATTGAGAAGTTATTGCTGGATTATCAGACGGAGTTTGACATTAAGGACAGGATCTGGAGTATTGTGGATGACAAGGAGAGTGCGATCAATGTCAGGATTGGGAAGTTGATGAGTTTGAGTGTGGATGAGACTTTGACGGAGCCTGTTGCGGAGTTGATCTTGAGTGACGTGAGAGGGATGCATTTGTGAACAGACAGAGAAGAGGCAATGGGAAGGGAAGAAGATCGGGATCTAAGGACCACACTATATCACCAACTCTTCAATGCGCCGTGCAACGGGATTTGAGCTGTGCATCTCGAGGCGAGTCAAGGTCTGAGTGGCTGGCCATGTCAGCGTCACGTCCAGAGCCGGTGATTGTGAGATCCAATAGTCCGCCAATTGAGCGGGCGTTCTGGAATCCCTTCTGCCTGCCTGCACGCCATTTTCGGATTCGAAGCTCCCAACTCAAGCGCGGCTGTTGATGCCAAGGCAAAGCGAAAGAGGCTCGAAGCCGTTGTGGGCAAAACCGACACAATCAGCCTGAACGAGCAGCTACTGCTGTTCTGGACAGCAGGCCCAGGTGCCATCACAGGCGAGGTGTCTGAAGTTCAGGAGTGGTTTGCGGTTTCAACGGCTTGCGAAGAAGCTAGGAATCTTTCCTGGGATGGTCTTCGTGTCGATTCAAAAAAGTTTTTATTGTTGGTTACACTGAAAACTGGTAACCCCCATCAAGGTTACGTGGCTTTTGCAGCGAGCAGTCCACGCCGCTGTAGGAAGCTGAGAACCAAGGCCGCGAAGAAGGGAGCAACGCCCACTAAAGCGTTGTTATGAAAGTAAGCGGTCTTAGCATGGGGCATCCGAGGGAGATCAGACAGAAGATACTTCTTCACATTTACCCTTGGCCGTGCAATACATATGCTGAGCAGCATGACTGGTCGTCCACCGATATATCCGAATCGTTCCCTAGTGGCTTCGAGCTTGTGCAATGCAATTGGAGCCGTACGGGCTGGTGGAACAAAAGATCACAATCTGCTCGTTCTTGATCCCGCCTTGCGATGGCATGCGAGATCCCGGGAGCCAGACCGAAGTTGCTGCAGGTGTCCGTGATCCTTGGACAGATGGGGCACGTAAGAGTACGAGTCACAACCACGCTGCTCTGCTTTCGGAAGAACTCGGAGGCATTATCAGGGACATTTCGTGCGAAACCGGATCTCGGAGGCTCGGTTATTGTTCGGTGCCGTGGAGAGGCATCAGATTCTTCGGCATGCCGTGCAGAGGCTCTGGCGGTGGATGCAGGTCTGTGCATCCGGTATCCTCAGTGCCTCGCGGGAAAGCGTGAAACGTCGTGAGAGATAGTCAAAATGTATATTTGGTCTGGAGTACGAGGACTGTGTACGAGGTAGTGTGTACGAGGCATGTGCTGGCGGCTTGGCGGGGTTTGAGGGCGGCTGGAAACAGGAACAGGAACAACAGATTTACCGAGGCACCGCCTTGCACGGAGTACGAGGTAATTACTGTGGCAGTCGTTTCTTCCTCCCCGCAACTCAGCGCCGCCCACACCAGCTCCGTGGTCGCTGCTCGACCCTCCACATGCGTCAGAAGGGCCCTAAACACCCCCACCGAGCGACAATCAACTGACCTTTCCGTCCTTTTCGTCCAAGCTTCCTCTCGTCCTTGTCTCGTGGTGCCTGGAAGCTTTGCCCTTCTGAGCTGCAGGTCGACTGGGCATGACGAAATTCCATCCGTGCTCGGCTTGTTCCTGCCCACTGGGCCGTGCAGATGCTTTTCGACCTTGTGCCTCGGCGGAAAGGGACAAACACACAGTTCCTCCAACGCGTCGTCGGTGTCGCAGGACCAAATCTTCGATCAGGTCTCGGATTGGCACGGCTTTCAGCTGCTAGACCTGAATTGCCATAAGATTCACCCAACTCCTCGTCCAGGTTTGTGTGCGAAATCTGACCTCACTCTTGTGTGCTGGTACCTTCTTGGTATCGTTCGTCACGATCGTCTCTTCCCTCCTCACTCGCTAAAGCATTGGCGCTGGGCTTGGGAGCATCATATTTCCTCGTCTCCGCATCTGCTTGTGTCATAGCACCGTCTGAAAATACTTGTTCACGCTCCTCGTTGCCCATCTGGCTCTCACACGAGTCCGGGAGCTCGTCTTTCTCTCAGCGCCTCGATACCCATTGCTGCTTGGAAAAAACAGCATCACTACCGTCTGCACCGCGCTGCATGAACACGACATCAAGATCCGCCTTGCCGAGAGCTCTAGCCCAATATGTCGGCCAAAAGCGTGAAAGGTGAAGGCGGCAAGAAGCCTGCCTCTGCCGCCACGAACCTCATTGCCGGTGGCGGCGCAGGCATGATGGAAGCTCTGGTGTGTCATCCGCTCGACACGATCAAAGTGCGAATGCAGCTGTCACGGCGAGGTCGGGCGCCCGGGACGAAGAAGCGAGGCTTTGTGATGACCGGCAGAGACATCGTCAAGAAAGAGACGGTCTTTGGCTTATATAAGGGATTGGGCGCCGTTCTCACCGGTATCGTGCCTAAGATGGCCATTCGATTTACGAGTTACGAGTGGTACAAGCAGTTACTGGCGGACAAGGATGGGAAAGTGAGCTCTCAAGCGACCTTTCTAGGTATGCCGAGGTGCTTGTGAAGTGACATGGCGTCAACATTTGCTGACTCGGCCCGAACAGCTGGACTGGCCGCTGGCGTGACTGAAGCGGTCGCAGTCGTAACGCCCATGGAAGTCGTCAAGATCCGCATGCAAGCGCAATACCACTCCCTCTCTGACCCTCTCGATGTGCCCAAATATCGGAGCGCACCCCACGCCCTCATAACCGTCCTCCGCGAAGAAGGCATCGGAGCTCTCTATCGCGGTGTCTCTCTCACCGCTCTCCGCCAGGGCACGAACCAGGCTGTCAACTTCACTGCGTATACCGAGCTGAAAGAGTGGCTCCAACGCTTGCAGCCACAGTACGAGAACCAGAATCTGCCGGGCTATCAGACAACCGTGATTGGGCTGATTTCGGGCGCCATGGGTCCGTTCTCCAACGCGCCCATCGATACCATCAAGACACGACTTCAGAAGACACCTGCAGAGCCGGGGCAGACTGCGATATCGCGGATAGTGAGCATCTCGGGTGATATGTTTAAGCAAGAAGGAGCCAGGGCGTTCTACAAGGGTATTACACCCCGAGTCATGCGGGTGGCGCCCGGGCAGGCCGTGACCTTCACCGTCTATGAATTCCTCAAGAAGAAACTGGAGGACAGCAACCTGGCGTTTGTGGGCGGCAAATACGAGGAGTGAAAACAGCTCGCTACGGTTTTTCCCTAGTCGGGCAGCATCGAGCATTTGCAAGGAGCACGCACATGACTTTTGCACGTACCGGCCTTGATATCGCGCCATTTGGTTCCATCTAGCATGTGTGCAAGGGAGTTTTACGACTGCGAGATAGATGCTTTGATAGTTGCAGAGATGGTTGGAATGCGATATGCTTGCGCTTGGACGTCTAAAGTCTTGGGAATGCTTTTTGTACTGTACTATGCTAGACGCGCCTGATTCATGATCGCATGGGGCATATAGTAGAACCAACACTGCAGAGTCAGCCGCAGAAGCACGGCGCTAGATGTTGCGGAATGTGGCGCTGGCTCTGGGCTTGATGAAGCTTACAGTAGAGTAATTACAGGATGTCCGGAGTCCCGCCGAGAGATGCAAGTATGAACCTTACATACCTAAGATACTGAAGGAACGTACCTCCATACCACTAAATCAAACGCGCACTCAGGCTCAGGTCGTTCCTCGCCACTGAAGAGTCAAGCCCCGTATCCAGAGGTCACCGCTCCTCAGGCAGCGTTGCCCAAACTGTAAGAACGGTCGCTTCATACACTCACACATTCTCCGGCCGCATTCAAATTCCGATAGGTCTCGGGCACGTACTCGGTACATCAGCCAGGCCTATGCCAGAATGTGGCTACAGCATGGACGCATTGGGGCACACAACCTTGTCATGGCTGCCTGCCTAAGGGCCGGCATGGGATCATTTCAGCAGCGTCCATGGCCAAGGACATATACCGCAGATTTTTCAACATCGGTTTCGGGATAATGGTCATGTCTCGCGCAGAGAGCTCAATTTGTCCAACGACCAACCCACGACGAGCTGGGAGATGATCCTCAAATTCACTACCGAGCTTTTGTGTGACTGTCAGTGCAACCAAATTCGCATCATCAAAAGCCCGGAATAGGTGGGATGGGAGGTCTGGAGAAAGACAAGCAGTATCAGATATCGCCTCTTTTGGCAAGCTGATGGGATTCCGTTCTTGTAGAAGGCTGCGCGCTCACAGAGACAACAGTCACGCTGAACCATTTTCTGTCAATCCCATCGCATTCTACCCCAAGAGCGCTGATTCACCGGAGAACGAAAACGCAGGCTGTACAGACTATCGCAAACAAGGAAATATTGTCGGAAGAGAGGACCACAGATCAGTCTGAGTTGAAGCCGACGACGCGGAAAGGTTCGAGGCCGATACCATCATCTCGCGATCTCGGCAAAGAGATTCGGCCCTCTCATCGCCAAGGGCCAGCCAATTCCAATGGTTGAAAATAATGAGGATCCCACAAGGACGCATGGTATCACTGCTCAAGCCACGGCAGAAATATTCGACTTCCTCGACCAACCCCTAGTCGACCTCAACCTGTTCCCTTAGCCTTAACACCTTGAACGACTCTGTTTACAACTCCACTAGGCTATCACGTTTATTCTCCTTACAGCTTAGCCAGTGATACAGTCGTCGAGATGTTATCATGGTTGAGCCCTCCACGCCCTCTGCGCATAAACTCCCTAATCACATTCTCCGTCAACTTGGCCACGTTGTTCGCATAGTCGTCCCAACCCAGCGAGCAATACCAATTGATACTGCCGACAGAGAACACGGCCCCTCCGGCGTCTGTCTCGTAGTAGACGAGATCACTCCTGATCTCCTTGGTCTGGGTCCCCAGCGTCCCCGTGATAGGGAAGGCAGTGCATTCGGGCGCGATTCCGAACTCGTCGGAATGGCCTGTACTTGAAGCGATGACTGTGGCGGTCGCGGGACTTCCGCAGAGCAGGTCGAAGGAGTCGATCTCGTCGCCGCTGGCGCCACCTCCAAGACCATACTCGCCAATGAGCTGATCGGAAGGAATGTCCCTGAACATCCAGTCAAACTTGGAGTCGTAACTCTCATCGTTGCGCTTGAAAGGGACGCCCGGACCGGTTCCTTCACCGCAGAAGGCCACTCCGAAGAGGCCGTGTGAGGAACGACCCCTTGAGCGCCATAGGCCACCTTGTTGGCCGGTGAGACTCATCACACGTTCGCCACCAGGGAGTGCATATGAGCGGACGCCCTGATCTCCACGGCGGACCTCGAGACGCCACGGGCGGGCTGGATCGACCGAGGAGACCCAGTAGAAGCCGTTGCCGCCGAGGTACAAGATACTGCCACCCTGGCGAGCGAAATCCTCGTATGCGTTGTAGGATTGCAGCGTTGGGTATTCGGGATGGCAACCGGTGAGGATGGTGTTGTACGGCGCCAACGTCGCAGCGCCATGGAGATGGAGATCGTGGTCAGTCACGACGTCGTAGGGGATACCCTGCCGTTCCAGCAGCCCGATCATCATGGAGTCCGCGCTCAATTCTCGGGGTCGTTCAAACGCCCACATGATGTACCCCGGTCGGAAGTTCAAGATGGGTCGCTTTGCCGAGGAGAAGACTACACCAGAGTTATCATTGTGGACGTCGTAGTTGGAGAGACCGAGATCTTTGCGGCGCATCAGGCGGTCGTAGTCCTCGTCGCGGCGGATGGAAGAGACATCAAAGCCTGGCGCAACCTCGATCGCGCTGGAGCGATTGGTGTCCGAAAGCTTCTCGTTGGCATAGGCCAGGTACGTGAAGGTGGAAAGGACGAACGCGACCTTCGCACCGACAGCCGCAGTGGTGGCCGGCGTGGGCCGGACGACGAAGGTGATCATATCGGACGTCTTCCCGTTCGTCGAAGTCACTTCGACCGCGTAGATGCCTGATCGAGCAGTCTCGGGGATCTTGATGGTGAAGTCCGAGTCCCATCGCGCGTCGTCCAGGTCGTCCTCGTGAAAATGGATCGCGCCGTACCCGTACTTGGCTTTCGTCCAGTCGACCTCGCTGCCATCCCAGTCGTGACCTGTGACCGCCCTGGTTGGGGCATTGACGAGCACGCCGTGCAGGTTGTTCCCCGAGACATCGAGGATCGTGTCCTCTGCCATGTTGCGGGAGAAATCATACTTGGCCAGGACTGTGACGGTCTTGGTGGAACCCTCCACTTTTGAGATGGTAGGACTGTCGATGCGACCGTTGAAGAAACACGCAGCTCTTCGACCGGCGGAGGTAGCGCCAGGACTAGGAACTTGGTCAACCGTTGCCGCGAAAAGCAGAGGATCCGTGGACGAGGCCCCGACGGCGGGCCCTGCCAGCCTGGCCCGTGAAACTGACACGGGGGCCGCCTTTTCCAGAATATACGCCACGGGGCGAAGCACAAGAGAGCAGTCCATCCCGTCGAGCGTGAGCGTCATGTCGACCCAGCGCTGCCGCGCGGGACTGAACCCCGTGTGTACCACTTGGACGGCGTCGCCCGTCCCGATCCACGCCTCGACGACACCGGCTTCGTTGATCACCACCGCGAAGCCGCGTTTCGCGCCGCGATTCAACGTCGAGACAATGGCCTGAGCGTGTCCCGGTCCGGCCGCGATGGGGAGATGTGCCTGGAAGAAGAGTGAGACTTGCAGACACGCAGACTCGCTGACTGAGGAGCCGTGGAGCAGGCCGCCCAAGCCTTGTTCAACCACGGCGTACGAACCCGGTCTCGCGCATTGGAACCGTCCCTTTGCTGTTCCGGTAGGGATTTGCGTGATGGGTTCCAACCTTTTGAGAGGGGAGTGTTCAACCTCGACGCCTTGGACGACGCGCACAGTGCGGTGGGAATATTCGGGCTCGGTGCACGATACTTTGATGGCGACCTCCTCACCGGGGTTGGCGATCCAGGGGTCTGCATAGCCGGTGATTTCGGGTGGGTAGCCTTGGGGTGGTATGTCGATTGTGTCGATTGTGTCGATGGTGGTCATTTTGGTTATGCTTGCCAGCCACTGTCGCTCACCTGGCTGTTTTCCGGTGCTCAGATGGTGTATTCGTGGTGGATGTGTGTATTGTGCCGAGTAGCAATGGAGCCCGTCCTGTAATCTGAGGATAGAGATAGAGATAGCGACAGCGTCAGCGATAGCAATACGTATATGGTGAGTCTGGGACGAATTGGTGATGGCGACGGATGATAATACGAGTATGATGATCCTTCCAGTGTGGATGTACTCTACAGAGATATATCGCCCACATTAGTGACTGAGAGTCAGTGCGATGGTGGTTTGAGTTGGTGTCTGTATCTAATAATGCCAGTCAAGACCGCATGAATGCATCAGGCCTGTCTCGCCCGCCAGGATGCATACAGTACCAGCCTATCAAGCAATCGGTTTACATAGTGTATCCTCTCATCTCGCATTCCTGAATTGGCGGTTTCCGTGCAGGACTGGTGCCGAGAACAAGAGTGCAATCTCTATCTCCGTTAGTATCCATCCGATGTCTTGATCTCTAGCTTGATAGGTAATGGCTCTCTAGTGATAGGATGGATCGATGGATGTAGACGGGTACGACGGAAGCATGATGGGATGGGATGGGATGGTTCTGAACCACAGTCTACAGTCTACAGTCTACAGTCCACAGTCTGCCGTTCTCTCATGGACGAGCAATGTACCGTAATTCCTGTAATCGCAAGGCCAAAACTTACAGCGCTGATCAGCGATATCTGGTACTGTACTCGTAGTGCAAGATATCGAGACAGCACGCCGGAGGCATAGCATAGCGTCTATCGTACAGCAATCATGTATGCGGAGTATTCCATTGCATCGATCCCATGCCATCCCATTGTGGTCCCATGCAGTCCAGTGTGGCGTTATCGCCCAGTCAGCATACAGTAGACAAGACAGATACGAAGACTCTGGGTTTAATTATTTTCTCAAGGCCCATGTGCGTGTGCTCCTGTCCCCGTCTTGATCCAATCCAATATAGCTTGACCGGAGGCGGAGATATCCATGGCGATGATCCCCAGCCCCGACCTCAAGCCCAACCTGTCGTGGTTTATTTGGGGCACTTCGGACTAAGGTAAGGTAGGTACTGTAGGTATCTCCTCCGTATCTTAAATGATGTGGTGCCCAGGATCGTAACGCGTAACTTAGATAACGGACTAGCTACTTAGTCGGTCGGTTGGGGACACTCTCTCGGAAGCAGGCCGATTTCCCGAACAGGCAGGCAAGATAAGTGAGGAAGTACTCCGTACTCCGTAGAGTATTACTTTACAGTATCACCAGCAACAAGGATCAATGGTCCCGAATAGGTAGCTGAGTTGGTATCCACCTACTGAACCACCTGCTGTTGCACCACTGCCCCGGTCCCTATCAGTCTTCAGATGATGGGTCTCGACGCCACGAAAGTAGAGGCCGCTTGCACTGTCCCTACTGTACAGTATGCTCTTGGCCGAGACCGAGTGAGACCATGACCAAGGCCAAGCTTGCCCAACAGTTCTGATCGTCAATGTCCCACCTCCGGGGGTCTCTATTCCAATTCGTCTCGCCATGTCGATATGTACCGTAAGTACCGTAAGTACCACATGGTCGACCTCTCGTCAAGTACGCCAATGACGAAGCACCCGCTCCCGCGGATAAGGATAAGCATCCTGCCAGCATCGGTCGGGGCTAGATTTTGAGTACAAGTAATACCCATATTGCCAAGGACATGTCGATCGTCGACCGAGTAGTTTCTCCCGTCCCGAGTTCACGTTCCGCCCCAAACAGGCAAGAGAGCCTCGATTACATTCGGTTAAAGGAAATGTTACACCGTGGGTACGGAGTACACTACCAGAAGATGTCCCGAGTATTACTGTACTGTGTCCTACACCCCCTGGAGGTTGGGCCCGTACACGGTACATAACTTACTGTACGGAGTACGGTAAGGCAGCCTTGTCTTATCGTCGCTCGCTCGCTCCCTCGCTCGATACCGCTTCGGGAGGGCAGCCTATCTACTGCATGCCATGGTCTGTCTATCACTCGTCTATCATCTCTCTCTCTCTCTGTGTGTGTGTGTATGTATGTCCCCTCTCGAGTGTAGTGGCTTGTCGTGGCGACGGGGTCCCGATCCAGCAAGACCGCATTCCAGGGTACTTAAGGAGCCGTGGATCCCGCGCATGCCGGACGTGAACATGACAGGACAGTGAGTGAGAACAAACGCAGAGCAAGGCTGGTCGCTCAGCTTGTATCGTCGCCGTCGGCATCACGCACTCGGCACAGACCACTTGACACGATATACTGTGTTATATTGAACCACGTCCCGGGGGACAAGACGATACACCACGCCATAACATAACACATCACACCCACATCGTCCGTTCTACAGCACACGGCCTAATAGCTGTCCCGAACAACCTACCCACCCACCGGCGACCAAGCAACCAAAGTCTCTCCAACCCAATCACTCTCCCCAGTAAATCTAGCAATGACACCCCACGAGCAGTCCCTACGGGACCACGTCCCCGGGACGATCCACCTCGTCGAACTCGAGGCTAGCGAACACGACAGCAAAGGCCACATCGTGCTGCATCCCCAGCCGAGCACCGACCCGGAGGACCCCCTGAATTGGTCCCGCAAGCGCAAGCTCTGGAACATCGGCATGGTGTACGCCTACATCTTGGGCGTGGGCATCCCCACGACGGTGCAGTATTCCATCTTGACCAACATCTCCGAGGAGACGGGTATCTCGTTGGCCGATCTGAATACGGGCACCGGGTTGATGTTTTTGTTCGCTGGGTGAGTCTTCTCCTGCCGTTCCTGTCTGCCAGGGTCCTTCTCTCTGGCTGTCGACTGTCGACTGTCTGGCTGCGCGACCGATGCTTGAATGGATGAATGCTGACTCTCCTGTAGCTGGGGATGCTTGTTCTGGCAGCCTGTAAGTTCCCGGACGACAATACCCCAATCATCGTTATTGTTCCCCCATCAACAGCTAATGATAATGAACTTCCAGATCGCTCTCACGTACGGCCGTCGCGGAGTCTATGTCATCTCGTCGCTGCTGTGCATCCCTCCCATGGTGTGGACGGCCTACACAACTTCAACAGGTGCTTGGTATGCTCACCGCATCTTGATCGGTTTCTTCGTCGCGCCAGTCGAGTCTCTGCCTGAGGTGTCGGTGCCGGACCTGTTCTTCGCCCATGAAAGAGGCAACTATATGGGTCTTTATTGTTTGTTTCTCTTCGGCTCCAACGCCCTGGCACCTTTGCTGGCTGGTTTCATCGCCAACTCGCTCGGTTGGAGGGCTGCCATTTGGTTCGGTACCATCGTGGCCGCCGTCGGCACGCTCGTGGTCTTTTTCGGTATGGAAGAAACCATCTACTTTCGTTCCGCAATCGAAGGAGTCAACGGCGCGGTTGAGACAACCCAGACCGAAGCCGTTGGGGAAAAGAAAGAAACCAAAGTGGCTGGAGAACCTGTTATCAGCGAGTCGTCTTCACCTGCTGCCAGCGACATTGTCCGCTCCCCACCAAAGACCTACTGGCAGAAACTTGCCCTCTTCCAGTTGCTTCCCCAGCGGCCATCCAACAAGCAGATGTTCATCATGATGATCCGGCCGCTGATGATCTTCTTCTTCTTCCCGAATGTCGACTGGTCGGGATTCTTGTATGGCGCCTCGCTCTGCTTGTATCAAGTCGGCAACGGAACGGTTGCGTTCATTCTAGGCGGCGCGCCCTATCACTTCTCATCAAGTATGGTTGGGTTGTCCTATACAGCCGGTAAGTGGACAGCGTCTCAGTCTGCTCGCTGTATGGCCTCATCGCTAACGAACAACAGGCCTCATCGGTTCGTTGCTCGGCTGGGTCTACGCCGGCTGGATCGCAGACAAGGTGACCCTCTACCTCGCCAGACGGAACAACGGTGTTCGTGAGCCCGAGCAGAGACTCTGGGTCCTGGTGCCGTCCGGCATTATTGCAGCGGCTGGGCTCATCCTCTGGGGTGTGGGTGCTGCTCACCGGGTCCACTGGATGGGCCTCATGTTCGGCTTGGCTATGTTTCAATTCGGCATCGTGGTAGGCGCCACGACGTCTCTGGCTTACAACGTCGACTGCTTCAAGGAAATTGCGGGAGAGACTCTCATCCTGGTCATCGTCATCCGCAACACCATGGGCTACGGCATGGCGTACGGCATCACTCCTTGGATCAACACCAGCGGTGTTCAAAACACCTTTATCGGAACCGCCTTCCTGTTCATTGGCTGCACTTTCAGCTTTTTGATCATGACCGTCTGGGGCAAGAGGTTCCGCAAGATGTGTGCGAAGAAGTATTGGCACTTTGTGGACACGCTGATTGTGGCCTCCCACTGAGCGAGAAAGCACGAATGTGGTGGAGAATACACTGCTTTTAGACTCCGTTGCGACGTAGGCAGTCTGAGAGCGACAGTGGATAGACGAACTCGAAGATTCAAATAGACAAATGCAGCTGTTTTCGTTTGATCGTCACGTTGTCTTGCGTCTTCGATTATGACATCCATGTGGTGTTCAGTAGCGTGGAGAAGTCTTGGGTCAAATCGAAGTCAAGACCTGAAGAGGATGGCATTTGAAAGCCCCAAGGTGTCGTCTCTCCGGACGGAAACGCGAAGAAGTCACTGTCAAAATCATTCAGATGAGCGACGGATGCGTCAGCAAATGCAGGCGGCACGGTTGGAGTCTGTGCAGAGATTGCCATCTGTTCCTTCGATGACCCTGGGAAGAGGTACTCAGAGAGATTGAGACGCGAAGCCATCACCCGCACGCGATCCCATAGGTACTTCGTTTGTGTCGAGTACCCAGCCAGGCCACGGAGGTGGTTTAAGGCAAGTGTGGAGCCTTTTAAAGCCTTTTGAGCTGTCTCGGGTGGGATTGAGAGCGCCTCTCCGTTGGCAGACGGTGATTCCACGCCTGACATTTTGTGTGTGGTTGCGAAGAGCAGAATGTCCAGGGCCGAGACCAAGAAATGGTTCAACTGTGCTTCGTGGAATCGATACTCCTTTTTGGCAGGGTCCAAACGCGTCAGGACTTGGATCGTATCGGCTGTGATGTCCACTATTGTCCAGATATCCAACGGGGCGGCTTGTCTGAGACCCGAGCACAAGAAAGCCCGAGCGACCAGTATCCTTAGGTGATTTGCCCGCAAGTGAAGGATTGTGCGCACCATCTCGATCCCCGGGCTCGTGTTGTCTGTAAAAGTTTCAGAAGCACGCATGGCCCAAAGCGATACTCGATACCGAAAGTAGTCGTAGTCGTCCTGCCACGTGGCCGAATGTTCGGGGCTGAGGACCTTGTCGCTCAGCAATGCGTCGCATGACTGTCGCCCAATGCTCGCGTAGTCGATCATTAGTGTCAAAAATAGAGCATCCACCTTCGACGAGAAGTTAGCGATGAGATGACAGTGTCTCCGACTGGCAAAGAGGTTGCCATCGAAAGAGACAAACTTACAGGCTGAGGGAAATTCGCCTCCAGACGCAGATTGGGCATGGCGTCGGAAAAGCCCAGAGCATAACTGAGATGCTGTTCAAGGACAAAAACCGTCCAAATTGTGTTGATTGCATGCACTCGGGTCTTGACATCGGGGAACGAACGGTCAAGCACGGCTTTCCTGTTCAAGCCCAGTTCCAGGATGATTCGGCTTACATTGCCCTGGAACCTCCAAGCCAACCGCCATCTCCCGCAGTGAAAGTGGAACAAAATCTGCGTTGTCAGTGGTTAGCCATTCCATCTCAGATCTCAGCAACCGATTTGGCCATACCACGAGTGTCATCAAAATTAGATCCTTCAAGTCAACGGCGGAAGTCCAGACCATCGCCTCCACTTGTGGACGCAGAGAATCGAACAGCGTCGCAGCGAGCTTTTGGTGGGTTTCTCCTTCTGCAAGAAGACCCAGGGCCACCACCATCTTGAGTATGGCCAGATCATCCTTGCCGATATCCCGCACGTCAGACATGGGCATTCCTCGGGCAGAACGCTCGCCAGAGACTGGACCTGCGCCGGCGAAATTCGTCGCCTTCTGTACGATATCTGCCATGTCCAAGACAGGGTACATTGGAAACTCCAAATCAGCAAAAGCTTGGACTGCTTGTAGAAGGAGCTCATGCTCGAGCTCGTTGAGGGAACCGACGACTTTCGCATGAGGATGCGCATATCGCCCATCCGTGCTGCTGTCTAATGCTGCGTCTCCAGATTCATCGAGCTCACTCGGACTTATGTCATTCGACTCGCCATTGACCACCTCGCCGTGGATGACGGATATTGCAGTTCGCGTCTTCGCCGAGGCATCGGCAATGGGAAGCGTCTGCTCCTGTGAGACATCGGGACCGAGCCTTTGAATACCGACCTTCACTACGTTGATGCAATAGAAGGCGCTGGTCGAGGTTTGAAAGAGTGGCAAAGGCTGCTTCCGAGGCGGCAGAACAGCGATAGCCGTGCTTGCATCGCTCTTCCCGGCGACTTCGTACGCTGCCTCAATGGTTGCCGTCTTCTTGATCAGGAGATCCAGCTTTTCGTTCTGTTCTCGTAGCAGGGTCTTGATTTCTGCCTGGAAGCCGTTCTGCTCGTCCCTATCAACCTCAGTGGTTGCTCTCCTAGTGTTAGACGTGATCCTACTGTGATTGTGAGACGTGGGCCTGGAAGTTGGGTGGCGCCTGCACACTGTAATGACACTCTCCTGCGCGAGCCGCGCAGTAGGCGCAGGGGAGACGTCCATCACAACGAACCTTGGCTTTCTGGCATCGCTGGCAGGCATGGGGCGTATATCGACTTCTCTTCCGAGAGCGCTGAGAGGAATGATGCTGCACATCGAGTTCTGTGCTGCTTCCAGGAGCCATCTCCCTGATCGGGGGACCAGAGGAGCCGTAGAGGTCGTTCACAGAATGTAAGGAAGAGGACGCAGTGGTAGAAACGAGCGGACCATATACTGCGGGCAATCTTCAACAACGCTGACGGTCGTATTTCGCACTCTGACAACCTTGGTATCACAGTGGACGGTAATAGGCCGAGCATACGTGAGGCGAAGGCTTGTGTGTTCAAGCCGCTGGGCCTGAATGTCAGCGCATCTGTTGAAAAGTGAGCGACGAGCCTGGGAAAAAGATGAGGAATCTCATCCTAAATGTGCGAGCGTCGGCCCGTCGCCCAGTAGCTCGTACAGTCAGAGGCAGGCAGGGACATCGGAGGACGCGTCTCCGCAGTATCGAGTCGGCATTCATGGACTCATGGCGAGCCGAGACGGAGGTGTGTGTGGACGATTGTGAAGTGAATGGTCAACATCCTTGCAACTCAAGGCTGACTGACTCCACCGCGGGGACCCCGCCATACGCAGCACCAGACAGCAAGATACTGGAACTCGTACAGTCACGCAGCGTCCTCGTAGTGCTCTACACAGTGAAGAAAATACACAATCAGATATTGCTGTTGCTGTTGCCTGACATGCGGCGGTGAAGTCAAGCAGCAACCCGGGGCCACCATCTAGGAATTCGCCTCAACACCAGCACGAGGCACCCGCTCACCCACTTTTCGCTCAGCGCTCCTCCCAGCAGCCGTCTCTCACGATGCAGTCTGGCATAACAGCCTCCTCCGAACTTCAATCCGCCTTTCAGACCTTCACCTCCGACGCCAGTCTCTTCGCGCTCCCTATAACGATAGCCTCGGAATCTCTGCGACCTCTGCCCTCCACCCCGTTCCCGTCCTCTCACTCTGGCCTGTTCAACAGCATCCACACTCTTTCCTCCTTTCTGACATCCACCGAACCTCTGTTCCTCCTCCTCCGCCGCGCGCCCTCTTCCAATGAACTCGTCGCAATCACATACATTCCCTCGCGGGCGCCAGTGCGGCAAAAGACTCTTTTTGCAAGCACGAGGAACACGCTGATGAGGGAACTGGGGAGCGAGAAGTTTTCGGAAACAGTCTTCCTCACAGAGAGGGAAGAGATCCTCGATCCGGCGCAATGGGAGGAGCGCGCGAGGGGAAGCGCCGCTGCGAGTGGTGGTGTTCCAACTGCAGGGGCCACGCGAGCCGCCGTGGACGAGGGCTTACTGAGTGTCGAGGAGCGAGAGCTTCAAGCTGTCAAGCGGGCAGAAGAAGAGGAACGCCACGGCACCCGCGGTAGAGACCTGATGGGCGAAGGTGGCTCGGGCGCCGACTTCGTGACCGGAAAGGACGGAGAAGGAAAGGGCAAGAATGCCATGAAGATCAGCGATGAAGCTAAATCCGCTCTATCCGCCTTCAAGGACGTCGCGGCCAGTGAAGGCAAGCTTGCTATCTTCTCGATCGATATCCCGACCGAAGAAATCCGACTCGTCTCCACGAAAACGGGCATCCAGCCCGCCGCCGTGGCAAGCAACATCCCCGCTGACAAGCCAAGTTATACACTCTACAACGCCCCCGGCGTGCCGGGGAGTATCTTCATCTACGTCTGCCCGGGGTCGTCAAAGATCAAGGAGAGGATGATCCACGCAAGTTCACGGCTGGGCGTGACGAAGCTTGCGGGCTGGGAAGGCGTGGAGATTGTGAAGAGGCTAGAGGCGGGCGACCCGGAGGAGTTAGGTGGCGGAAGGTTAGAGGAGGAGGTGAAGGCTCTGACGGCCGCAGGAGGTGTTACGGGTGGTCTCGCCGGGGCTGACAGCGAAGAAGGACCGGCGCCCGGGTCAGGGACTGCAACGCCAAGGGGTGGGTTTGCGAGGCCGAAGAGGCCGGGGAAGAGGTGAGCAGAGCGAATGCGTGTATGGAGTGAGGATTTAGGCCACACACAGTGCAGGAAGACGCCACCAGCGACGGCCGAGGCTTCTGCTGTACGAGGATTACGTTGCATGATCATGAGGCATGACGCCGCAACAATGGTCTAGACACGAAAGAATGTAGAGAGCAAGATGCCGGTTTGCGCGGTACATCAGACTAGTATGCTCAGGTAACCGCTACACGAGCAATGCTGAGAGTATCATGCTCCCTTAGGTGCTGAACCTCCTTCCCTCGCTCCTTAGACTTTGAGAGCCTTGTCCCGGCGGAGGCTCCTGTATCAGTGTTGGGACGCCTGTGTTTGTCCTATCCAGCGACGTGTACGGTGGGGTGATGGACACCCCTTCTTCCCCCGATGACTCGATGAGATCAGCCCAACTCGTTGGCGAAGCTTATGGAGGAAGTCCCGACACTCAATCATCAAGGAGATTGAGGCGTTGAGGCCGGGCCGTGTTCTTGGTGCAGGATCGCCGCTCTGTTAACGTCATAATCCAGCTTCAGTTCATCGTGCAAGCCGTATTTGCGGTGCAACAGTGGCCACTCCTCTTTCTCCGCCTCTTGTCTCTCCTTCTAACTCTTTGGGCTAGAAACTTGAGATGCGGTCGATTGTTGGCTCACGTGGCCGTCGATTCGAAATCTCCTCGCATTTCTAACAGGCCGACTTCCACTTTATGAGGCGGATAGAAGCCGAGAAGTTCATCGTGCAGAAGCCCATGGCCAGCCCTCGGTACTTTGTGTCACTTTCCCACGAATTGCACACAGACTCTGATTTCTCGCTAATACTGCTGATTCCTAAAATTCTTCTTCTGGTAGAACAAGTCTGTCCTAGAACTGCCCAGGTTGATGATCTTTGGACACCCGTCCCTATCCTTTTCGAGTCTCGTACACTCGAAGCAGTAGAACGCATCTGAGATGCCTTCGCCGCCGCAGACGATGCATTTATTTTGGTAGTTGCCGAAAGAGCATTCGTCGCAGATGCGCACGAGGGTGGTCGGTCGTACGTAGGAGTCACACACGGGGCATTTGCCATCGCATTTGTCACAGAGACGGCCCAGCGAGATGCCGGGTGCTTTGCGGCACATAACCAAGTCGGGGTGGTGGCGGGACATTGTAAAGGCTTGAAGGAGACGGATGTGTATAGAGGAGCAGAGATATCGTACTCGGATTCTGGCGGCTGCGATCTGGCGGTGGTTCTGGCACAGAAGCGACGTTGGAAAGGTCAGGAGCAAGTGTTCAAATATGGTCCATGTGACGACGCAGAAGAAGATCGAAGTGGCCAGCCTCGCGCGCGGATTTCTAAGCCTTGTTTTCCAGCGGGGCACAGTGATCAGGCTACCAATCAATCTCTAGCTCCCCGCAAAAGCCAAGCCTGGCACGTGCACGAGATCGCCGAGGCTTTCCTGCTCCTTTGATTCGATGTTTGTTCATGATCTCCCCAAAGCCATGTGCTCAGCCTAGCCACTGGCATTGACTCAGGTTGCGCCTGGGGCTGTCCTTGCCTTAAGCATCCTTTACTCACCATCTTGAGGCGTCTTTATTGTGGAAGGGCTCTCATGTCAGAATCAACAATGATATCCTCCGCCGTCCTCATCCCCGAGGAGCCACGGCTGGAACAACAACAGCAGAACGTCTCGCTGAAACGTCGTCAATCGTCCGTCTCTCAAACCTCAGATTCGAACAAGCGGCCTCGATTTGACACGCGGAAATCCACCGCCTCGAACGACGGCGAAGCGTCCCCGGGCGCCGGATCCTCCCCGACCACTGATAGGAGCGCGACGAGGCCCCCAAGTGCAATGTCACCTCCTGCAGCACGCCGTCGGCAAACCTCTGGCCTCGAGCAAGACAAGTCGCGCAACCGGCGCCTCTTTGGCGCGCTACTAGGCACCCTCTCGCAGTCCTCCCAACCTGCGCGGCGATCCTCTGCGAGCGGCGCCCAGAAGTCCAATACGGCGACGGCGATAGTAAATTCGCGCCGCGAAGAGATTGAATCCCGTCAAAGAGAACGGCTAAAGCGGGAATCGCATGAGATCGCCGAGTCTGCGCGCCAAAAACGGGAGGAATTGAACCGCGGACGGCGAAAAGAACAGCTCCAGTGGAACGAAGAAGCCATGCGAATGCGGCATAGGAATATGCGCGCCATGGCCGGGTTCCTGCACACGAAGGCTGAACCAAAGTTGTACTACAAGCCTTGGGAGTTACGCGACCTGGAAATAGAACAAATCAAGCGGCAGACGGTAGAAGTGGAAGCGAAAATCGAGCGTGAAGTCGAGGATTTCGAGGCCAAAAAGCGGAAACGACAACAGGAAGATGATGCAGATAGGCCGGTCGGAGAAAGGGATAGAAAAGAGCAACCACCGAGTCCGGCAACAAGTCGCAGTGTTGCAATGGATGTTGACGAGGGTCGCCGATCTCCAGACGAAAAGCCGCACGAAAAGAGGGAAGCCACGGACGTCGAAACCCAGAGCCATGACCGCAATGCCGACGAGAAGATGAACATCGACCAGCCTGTCCCCGAGGAAATTGCTCGGTCTTTGAGCGACGAGCAGGGACCTACAAAGCAGGCCGAAGTGGGAAGATCAACGAGCAGCAATAAAAGTGACGAGCATGACCATGGCGGCGAGGAGCTGGAGCAAGGACAAGAGGACGATGTTATCTACTGACTACTCGCGAAAGACCTTACATCGCTCACCGTCGCCTTCCGTGTGTCTGCATGCGACCTCGTCCCTGGGCAGGACCAGTATTTGGACTAGTCTCATCTTAGACTAGCGTAATCCTCCCTCCGAGGTATTATGTCATCAGATCACGTGCTGCCGGCGCTCTTTTCCTGTGATCTTCGTGACTTTCTTCTTTCCTTCCTCTCATCTTCTCCCTGCAGGTCTGAGACGTGCAATACGACCAGCTTCCTCGGTGCCTTCGGCGGTAATATTCCTCTCCACATGGGTGCAGGATCTTTGCATGATCGCCCATCATGTTTTAGCTTTTACGTCCCTCATCTCAAAGATGTCGCCCAACCCTGCAGCGTTCGTTAGCTTCACTTGTGCCTTGGCGTTGCCAAATGAGCAGGACCAATAAGCCTGCCTAAGGATCTCGCACCTCACCAGCAGCCACTTTCAACATGGCTTCGCAGTCACTCGCAGCTGACAAGGAGTCCGGCGTTTCAAAAATCAACATCTTGACCTTGAATTGCTGGGGACTGAAGTTCATCTCGAAATACAGGCAAGAGAGGCTAGCCGAAATAGGCAATCGCCTCGCGACCTATACTCCTCAACTCGATATTGTCGGTCTGCAAGAATGTTGGACGTATCACGACTATTTATCCCTTCGAGACAGCACCCGTTCCATCCTCCCATACGCAAAATTTTACCATTCAGGTATCTTCGGTGGCGGGCTAGCTATCCTCAGTCGCTGGCCAATCAAAGAATCCTCCATGCAAAGGTATCCTCTGAATGGTCGACCCCAGGCGTTCTTTCGAGGTGACTGGTTTGTCGGCAAGGGTGTGGCATGTGCCACGATCGGATTGCCCGGTGGTGTCAACATCGAAGTGTTTAATACTCATCTGCATGCCCCTTACGAGAGGGAACCGAACGACAGCTACATCTGCCATCGTACGGCACAAGCCTGGGAAATAGCTAAGCTCATGCGCGCGGCGTCGGATCGAGGTAGCTTGGTCATCGGTCTCGGAGACTTCAATATGGTCCCCTTGAGCTTCGCGCATGTCCTTGTCGAGAGCCGAGCGGGAGTGCATGATGTCTGGCGAGCGATCAAGCCTGCGAGCAGTATTGGTGCGAGTATCGACGCACCTGAGCAGGAGCGAAGGAAGCGCATGAATGAAGAAGAGACTCCGACCGTGGAAACTAGCCTTCAAGAACATGGTCACACGTGCGACTCAGTCTTGAACACATGGCGGTGGAACAAGGGCCATCAGAAAGAGCTGGCACGGGGTCATGACCGCAAAGTGTTAGCATCCGACTTGGATCCCAAGGCGAAGCGTTTGGATTATATCTTTTTCAGTGGGATAGGCCATGGATGGAAAGTCGCTGATGTGAAAGTTGCCCTGACCGAAAGGCATCCGACCCTGCTATGTTCCCTCAGCGACCACTTTGCGGTGCAGGCGACCGTTGAGAGAAGTCACACGGAACTGCCGACGATTGCCCAGGTCGAAGCTCACGCGGCTTTGAATGACACAGATACCCAAGACCCAAGCCTAGAGGTAGCGGATTTCGACGACAAGGACTTTGACAGGGCGATCTCTGCCATTCCAACGCAAGGGCGAGTTAGCCAGGACTTCTACAAGGACATTCTCCGCATGGTTGAAAAGTACAAACTGCGAGAAAGGCGACAACGGCGGTATGGTGTCCTGCATTTTGTCGGCGCATCATTGACCTCGATCGGATGCTTCGTGGCGGTGTGGTGGTCACCCAGGAATTTTGTGGCCTTTATACTTGTCCTGCTGAGCACCTTTGGTATCATGGCCGGGACGTTGAACGGTCTGATTGGGGGCTTCTTTGTGGGAACGGAGCTGCGAGCCCTGGCCGAGTTCGAATGGGAGGTGCGTAACGCGCTGTGTCTTGCAGGTGGTCCAGCCGTGGACGATCGATCACTGGCGGTCAAAGATTGGTATGATTGAAGGTCAAAAATATCACCTTGCCGCGTCAATACTCCGAAGCATCTCGTCCACTGGCTGCAGCGTCGAGATGGTGCGAGAGACGCGAGTTATCCGGCTCGGCAAGCGCCCAGCGACAGTGGCGCTTAGGCGACCGGGCGGGAGATGAGCAGCACCGACCGAATCAAGCATAAGCAGCACAGACGGACGAGACACGACCTACAGACGAATGACGAAACAGGGGACAGCAGAAAAGGAGATACTTGGCTGTGGCTGACGAGAAGCAGTCGGGGTCTGGAGCTGGCAGCGGACTGAAGAGTGTGTTGTGATGTTGTGATCAGCCGATTGTCCTGCTGCGTTGGATTGGTTTCGCAATTCGACAGCTCAAAAGGCGACCTCCCACCCTCCTCACCTCCTCCGACCTTTTCTTCCACCACGCCATCACAACGCCTTACCTTTCTTCGAAAACGGGCGGAAACCGGTCGCCTCGTCGTTATTGACTCGACGCGTAAATTTGAACCCGTCGCGACTTCTCCATCGCCAGGTACGTACATATGTTCCCTGTCTTATCGCCGATGCTGCGACAGCACCTTCGAGCTAGCTGCCTGACTTCCACCCTCCACCACTGCCTTGACGTCTTCCGCGTGACTCATCTGGTGTCGCGAGGGAGTTATCTTCCTTCTCCCCAAAGCATATAAATATGCGACATTGCTCCGTGTAGTTATCACCACATTCCTCACTGCCCGCCTCACCGATTCCCCGGCTCACCCCGCCTTTCTCACACCTGAGTTGCATATCACCTCAACCGCAAGCTGACATTACTACTTAAGTAGCCTTCCAGCGCACGCCCAAACCTGACGACCTACACAGTACTATCGCCACCAACTCAAACCACCAAAACAGAGACACCCCAGCCCCAAAATGGCTCAAACACGCGGCGCAACCGGCAACTCCAAGCCACGAGTCTTCGCGACCGTCTCCACGGAGCCAACGCGCAAGCGCAAGACTCCCGCCACCAGCACGACCGCAGGCACGAAGGCAAAGACCACCAAGAGCGCCACAGGTGCCGGTGTGACCAAGAAGCGCGCCGCAAACACAACCCACAAAAGGAAGCCCAGCGTGAAAGACAAGGTCGAGGGCGCGGTCGAAAAGATCGAGGGCACAATCGAAGGTAAGCCAGCCAAAAAGGCCGCAGGCACCAAGAAGATGCGCGGCACGGACGGCAAGAATAACAAGACGGCGAAAGTCAAGACCGTGGAGGCTTAGACGAAGAACCGTGATCGTGGAAAGCGCGACCGTCAAGGCAGACTGGTGGCGAGAGGACGCGATGACTTTGACTATCACGAGAGAGAGCGACACTGTGCTAGGATACGACACTTGGATTTGTTTTCCCTTCGAGCTTCTGCGACGATCGGGGCCCCAGTAGCGGTACCAGGGGCGTTTTCGCAGACGAGGCGCCACTCTCGCAACCCACGGCAAGGTGCCCAAAGGGAACTACCACATTGATTGACCTGGCAGTGAGTGGGAGCTGCTTTCTTCTTCTCCCTCCGGTGTTCTAATGCGCTTTTTGTACGGGCGGCGTTGTGTCAATTTATTGCTTGCTTGCTTTGGATCGGATGGGTTACGATAGGACGGGACAGGACACCATGCACTACGCAAGCAAGCAAGCAAGCAAACAAGCAAGCAAGCTAGCATGTACACGAGGAAATGCTATGGTTTATTATATCCCGAGTCTCGAACGTTCCGCCCTCTTGAGAGTAGTGACGCCCACCCCGCGTTCGACATGCGCACCGCGCACCTTGGGCCTCTGCCCTGAGCTGCCTTGCGTTACTCTGCGTTAACTCTACTCTACTCTGGCTGTATCTCTGAGAGGGCCCTCCCACACGATCTATCCCACTCACTCCAGCCCAGGCCTTGATGAAGTCACTCCTTCTCCTTTCTTTCCCTTTCTTTATCATGTACATGCTCTGCTTATCATGTGCTGTGCTATGGACATTTAATTCCCGTCGTACTCATGTTCATGTTCATGTTCATGTTCATGTTCATGTCCAGAATCAAGCCACGGTTGTGGACTGAGATGAATCAAAGAGGGCGAATGCAATGACGAGGAAACACATGACATGACAAACATGAGAGCGTTCGCCCGACTCGTTGACTTGGTTGAATACCGTGTGTCCGGTTCAATCGATCTTAACCTATGGAGTATGCATCTGTGTGGTGGTATCATTTCAATCTTTATCTACCTTGGACCAGTCATATCATATCCCCCATGCCTGGACCTGCCTTTCCTTTCGTTCCTTTTATCCCCTTATGCTCATATTCCCGTACGCTAGTTCCGATCCTGCGCCGTGCCGTGCCACGCCTTTTGGGCATCCCTTTACATACTGTGTGAGTACAGTTCGAGTGTGATCGTCGCTTCGTATGCTCAGTCCATGACAAAATGACCTATGGGATGGATGTGTTGTCCAACGATAGTGTAGACCATGCTGCAGACCTCTCAGTCATCTAGGCTGTCTCGTCTATCTCGCCTGTATCCGCCGGCTTTCGGCTGTGGCTGCCCACTCAAACTGGGAAGAGGATGGTGATAGCTCTTGGTGTTCTGGCTTTGAACGCTTTGCACATCGAAATCCAGGGGCTCGGCGTATGACCCAGGAACATGAATAGATCCAGGCACATGGCGGATAGGACGCTGAGGGGTTCGGTTCTTCTCTGGTGATGGGTGTCTGGCTGGGCGAGGTCCCTGGGAGGGAGCATGAACCGGTGGAGGCGGAGGAGTCGAAACGCTGAAACTGTCTTCCTGACTGTAAGAGAAGTCGCGGCGAGATGTGCGCTTGTCGGGGCTGGGTTGACGCGAAGTGGGTACAGGGTGACTGCTGCTGTTGCTGTACACGTCGCTGCCAGTCCGGTCTGTCTGGCTGTAATCCGTTCCATAGAATTGAGCATCCGAATCCTTGTTCAGACCTCCCACACGGGCAGCTTTTTCGTGGCGATAGGCACGGACGTCTTCGTCATGGCCGCCTTCCCAAGCTGCAGCATTCTGCTCACGGATCTTCTTTT